ATGATTAATTGAAGTATAACTGTTATACAGGGTTTGTTTCGTTAGTAGCTTACCAGTGAATAGAAACATTATATTTGACATGGTTAACAACTTTTACAAGAACTGTATCGTCTTCTCTGGCATACAGAGTGGGTCCTGGGAAGCGGCCATTGACGGTAACAATCGGCTTCCTAGAGCATAGTCTGGTAGTATTTTTCATCACCACCTGTTGAAATGACAGGTGAAATATTTAAGCTCATTTCTACATCAAATGTATATAATTCATAGGTCATAACTAAATTGTTCATATTGGTTGTGACTATTAATATGTCATTATAGCTCAACTATTTCTGTAAACCTATTTTGTTATTATTATTATTACTACTACTTGAATGTATGGATGGATTATGAGAGCTTTCTGCTGCAATTATTTACCCAATAAAGTATAAATAAGAACAAACTTTCCTGGTATTTAAAATAGTGGCTGTATAGGTGGGGAACTTTATGATTAATTCAAATCATGGACAAGTCAGGCAAAAGCCATAGTTGCATGATTTTAAGCCTAAGGCAGTGATCAGTGTCTTGATGTACAATGCGTCGTGCAAAACATAGTTATCTTCTAATAATGAAATGCTTATCAAGAAATCGTCTCTGTGACCGAGACAAATGACCGCAGCCTCGAGCAGTTCAAGCTTTTGACAGATGAAGGCATTCTACAGCAATATTATACTTACATTAAACTTGTAATGCCGAACCCTGCACTGGACCAAAGCAGGGAAGAGGCAGACAGCAAGAAGTATAAATCGGAGCCAGCAAGCGTACTCCATATCGCCAACTTTCTAATCTTTCTCTGGCAATCCTCCCTTGCTATTGGTTCTTACTTCTTGCTTTCAGGCTTCGTTGTATTCATCTGCGTGACTGGCCACCTGAACCTTATAAGGGAATTGAGGAATTGCTTCCATGTCGTTTTTTTCGTAGTTAGGTGGGTGTGTAGATTCTTGGAAAACAAGAATTTGATAACAAATCTCACTAGATTTCTTACATGTTACATAAAGTCTATGGATCGACGTGGATTTGTAAGCAAACGGCCTCTACCATTTTCTTCTACTTGAAACCTTAGTGAAAATTTTGTTGGTGGAAATCTGTGCTAAAAAATTATTAGAATTGGATATTAACCTTGAAAACATCCACTTGGCCGATTATTTACTCCACTAGTTGAAAAACCCTAAATTCCTAATAGGTTATTTGTGCCCAAAACATTAAAATCACAATAAAAGAACTTATTGGTCGACTAGATAGAAATAAATTACATGTGATAAGTCATGCTAGTGTTTTTCTTTCTCCCTTTTCTTTTCTAAAGAAAGGGGCAAGAAGCCCAATAAAAAAGAAGACTTCAAAAAAACACAATCGGGCATGGCCACCACACATGCGTAATTTTATAAAAAAAATTAAATTTTAATGTTCTAATATCAAAAATAAAAATAATTAAAAAAATTATTTTTAAATATATTCAAGTAAAAAAAATCAAAAAAAAATCATGCATATCAGTACCAAATAACAAATCTCTCCTAACGATAAGTATCAAAACAAAATGAAAAGTTTTAAAATTAAAATTCTATATACTAAGATGAGAAAGAATCCTACTTGTAACCTAGTCTTATCCTCTAATTAGTCGTTCTTTTGAGGAAGTAGAAAAGCTTAATAAAATTTGGGGTAATATACTTACTACTTAATTACCAGAAGAGTAGATCAGTGGTGATGTGCAGCTATTCAAAAGTTTTCTAAATTGTGCATCTATGGCCCTTCTTTTTTTTTTTTCATGATTAGCTTGACACTTCAAACGCTTCAGTAAGTTTCCATGTATCGGCCTCTCCCTCTCTGCTTTAGTGCATAGCCTCATTTGGTACGTACAGTAAATGTTGGGTATGCGATCAAAGTCCCATATTGATTAAAAATAGAAAGGATTAAGGGTATATAAGGATGAACAAATATCTTTATTGGTATGATGTCTTTTAAGTATAACCCAAGAGCAAATCTATGAAAGTTTAGGCCCAAAATGGATAATATCATACTAATGTGGACAATATCATACCAAGAAGATAAATGATGTCCATAAATCCTTACAGTAAAAGTATACAAGAGTATACATGTACGACTGTTTATGAATGTTTTTTAAAATGATTTTTCATCAAAACAATTTAAAAACATAAAAAAATATTTTTTAGTGAAAACAATTAAATTTTTTGAAAGTACAGGTTGAATGTCATTTCCAAATACTCTCTAAGTAATTCAACGAATGTATATATCTAGTTTTTTTGTAGATATAATTATATGAAATTTAATTTTTTTTAAAATAGATTTTTTAAATAATCTCTAAATATTCTAGATATTTAGGATAATTCTTCAATCCATCATTATATCCTTAATTTAATTAACTTTATTCTTGAGTATACGAGTTTTTAATATATCATTCTAGTAAGTTTTTCAAGCTAAATCACCAGACTCAATCATATGATTTGGGCATAAAAGTTTCTATTTTTCTAGCTTATAAAGGCAGTTTAGAAATAAAAAATAATTATATGTAAATTACTTAACTAATTCTAGTTGTTTGATATGAAAGTCTTATTAAAATAATTAATAAATTATAAACATAACATGTATTTAAGAATAAAATTGACTCAATTAATGATATAAAACCAAAATGAAAAACTACCTTATTATAATAAAAGCTGATCAAGCCATTAATCCTAAAAAAAGTCTTACAATTCCTGCAAGATGTGCACTTAAGTTCCAGCGTCAATGGAGACTTCTGATCCAATAAAGCAGGTCTTCAATGCTTTTGCAAATGCCCATATTTTGCTGTAAAATTCGATGCTCATTTTCTTCCTTCGTATCATCGCAGGATATGCATGGACCCTGCACGTCTGGCTTCTCGATCGTGGGAATTGAATTTCAACTCCAAATAAATCTTTATTCTAAATCTTTATTGGGGCATGTTACAAATCTAAGTAATTAATATGTTGAGCAGCGCTGATCAGGAGCTTATAATTAGTTAGTTGTGGAACTTACATGAATGACTAGGCTGTCTTGCAGGATATATATAAAATAGTTTTTAAAATATTTTTTATTTGAAAATATAGTAAAATAATATTTGTTATAATATTTGTTTATTTGTTTAAATTTATTTTTGATATTAACATATACATATTATAATGGTCTTGAAGGGATATATATAGCCACATTCCTATTACAAGATCAAGAATTTCTAAAAGAAAATTGCAATTAGAATTTCGGGATGCTTACAGCCTAAGAGAATAAACGGTTGAGAAATGCCTTTCATGTCATGCATCCTATGGCAAACCCAAAAACTTCATGGCATGTTTGAAAGCAAAGATTAAACCGACGGTGGGTAAGCAACAACTCATCCCCCCAAATTTACCCATATATATATATATCCATCCTGTTGGAGACAATTCATGAACAGCATGTTATCCGTTTTATACTCCTAATCTCATCAAATAGACAAATGAGTCCGCCGCCGTCGAATGGCGTATTGCTCACAAGAAGTTGCTTTACTTTTTGAAAACTAATTAAGGTTAGTTAGCAGACTATGCCCAGCTTTGTTCAGTAATCAGTCCAATTCACACTCATTTCATGGTCATGTAATGATGAAAAAAAAATTATGTTGATATTTTTTATTTAAAAATATATTAAACATAATTATGTTGATATTTTTTTATTTAAAAATATATTAACATAATATAATTTTTATTTTTAAAAAATTATTGTAATAACAAGACATTATAACATAAAATGTTAATATTATAAAATGGTTTATATCCGCTTCAGTTTCATAAGTCGATCAAAGAAAAGCATTCATGCATGTTTTTGCTGATTCTGTTTATTTTTATATTTTAAAATATTTTTTAAAAAAATATAATTTATTTTTTATTTCAAATTAATATTTTTTTAGTTTTTTTAAATTATTGTGATGTGCTAATATTAAAAATAATTTTTTATAAAATAAAAAATATTATTTAATATATTTCTAAATAAAAAATACTTTGAAAAACAATCAAAACCACATTCTTAATTAAAAAAGAGTATATGGAATACTTTTTATATTATTATTATTAGTTAGGAATATTCTTATGTTAGCTTGTAAATTGATCATATTTTCATATTATTATTATTATTAGTTAGGAATACTCTTATGTTAGCTTGTAAATTAATCATAAATAAATCTCTATTCTAAACAATTTTAGCTGCTGAATTATTTTGTACAAGGTTTTAACCCAAATAATTAATCAATGAAGGAATCATACCTTTTAACTAGCATACTGATATGTTAAAATTATATTTTTTGCACGAATTCAAAACAAATTATTTTGATTAAATGGGTGTGTACAAGTTAACGTAAACAGACAAATAGAGACAAACACAGGCTGCATAAGCCATATATATATATATATATATATATATATATATATATTGGATAATTAA